AAACTGAATAAAAATGCATGCGTTTCGGTTATGATGTCGCGCCGGCAGCCGGCCCTCCCGCGGCGGGCGGAATGCGACGTGGTCTGGCGGCTGGTTTTTGCACGATTTTTCGTAAATGAAAGTCAAAATGAAAATTATGTGAAAATGTAAAAAACGCGACGGTAATACAGCAGTAAGTACACAACGCCAAGGACGAGGAGGAGGAGGAGGGCGCAGCAGAGGTGCAGGCGAAATGAAACGAAACGACGAATGAACGAATAAACGAACAAGCAAACGAATAAAGATACATACCTACATACCTACATACGAACAGGCCAGCGAATGTACGAAAAAAACAAGTGTTGCGGTAAAAATGCATGGAAGAAAAAAAGGAGGAAAAAAGCGATCGATATGATGCACTCATTTCTGTCTGGTGCGCAGTGTGAAGAGTGTAGCGTCGCAGCACGTTTGTGCCCCCAGCCCCAACCCTCGGCAAGGCCTCCCAAACCAAACCGCCGTCTTGCAGCACACTTCCGACCTTTCCTGCAACGCTATGGGTTTGCAATGCTGCACTGGGTCGGTTTGACTGCAGTTGCATGAGTGTTCATGCACATGGACGGACGCGTGTGTTGTGTGTGTATCGATGCACTCACACATAAAAAGTATAATAATAAACGCTCGAAAAACCAAATTTGCAACGTCAGATTTTTTGTGAAGAGCTTTTTGATTGTGTCCTCCCGGCAGGACAGGCAGGTGGTGGGTGCGCTGTAGCTGTGTGTATGTGTTGATGTTGCAGCTTGACGACAGCCCAGTTGCCAAATTGCGGATGTGTCTGGTGCGGGTATCCCGTTGATGTACATACATACGTACATATGTATGTATAAACATAGTACATGAGCGAGCATTGGTTTGTGTGAATCGCTTTAGCTGAGCGTTCGTTGTCTTTAAAGCAGACACAAAGTGGAGGACACAAAAGCAGACAAATTGTTGCGAGAGCTGCTGGCTGATACATATTTGCGCACTGACTGCTTGTCTGAACTTGAGTTGAGTGCGCTGCCAGTGGTGAGGCGGTCGCCCGGGGCAAACAGGCGGCAGGCAAAGTAGCCAGCTGATGGAAGAATCCTTTGGGGACAGCTGTCATTATTTATATTTCCTTTCTACAAATATTGGCGCAATTAATTTAGTTGCATGCAATTTTCGTGAAACATTGACAATTATTTAGTTGCATTAGAAAGCCAAATTTTGTTGCTTGAAGAGGTCAAATGACAAAATACATACATAATCAGTATACTTAGCGATGTTGTGAAGATTTGTAAAGCCACTGTGGCTGAGTTGTTAGAGGTGCGTACCACCACTACGTACGACCTGGTCTAGGCAACATCTAAAATAGAAAATATTTTTTCTAATACCGGTCGCCCCTCTGCAAGCGATGCCAAACCCTCAAGTGTATTTTCGTCATGAAAAGGCTACTCATAAAATCCATTTGCTCACACCACAAATTGGAGGAGAAGCTCGGCCAAACACTCAGCGAAAGTGTAACGGCCAAAATATTATGATTGCTGTTTTTATTATCTTGGTACGCTTGGGCACTTTGGCCAACAGCATTATCCCTGAAAAGAATAATTCCCTGACCTTAGTATGAGGTACAAAAATGTGTTGCGCTTGCTTGATCCGAATTCGCATTTTTATATGTATACAGTTTATACCTGTGAGTCATCCCAAATTTGTATACATAAATAAACATATTCAAATGATACTAAAGATGTTATATTATTTTAAATTTCTGCTCTTATTTTACTAAACAGCTTAAGGTACTCAGGGCCGTTTTCTCAAGTATCCTGTAACTTTAAAGTTCACTTTATATATAAAGGTTACATTAAAATTTGTGATTGTGCCTAAAGTAGAGCATTTTATTACCCGTTTTAAATTGGTTTACAACCAAGAAAGATACTTACGTCATAAAACGATAATAGAAATGCGTAACTTTAGACATAGCTTTAATTTTAATCCAACCTTTAAATATAAAGTAAGCTTTAAAGTTAAAGGTTACATCAGAAAACGGCCCTTAGGGCGCTTAAATTATGGAATTATAAAATCGCGTCTGCCGTGACATAATTAGTTTACCATTTTGTTCCCTTCATTTTATATTCATCTTAAATTACTTCAAAAAAATTTCGTAGACACAAGAAACGCATTTCGATTTTTGTAGAAGTTTCGCTAAAAATATGAGTCGTAGGGTAAATTACTTGAATGCAAATTTACGAGTTTTATGAGTATTTTGCCGTAGAACGCGCCGGTTGTACAGCCAAAATTAGAGTGGCAATGCAAGGAGGAGAGCACACACAAGAAGAGTGACGTCAGTCAGTTAATGACAGGATAATGTAAGGGCAATGTTAAGTTGCACCCGGCTGCCCACCGTCTTCGAGCGACTTATGGATAGGTATAATTAAAATATTGGTGAGGGATGGATTTCATTTTTGATCCTTACTATAGTACGCATGAATATCCAATGTTCCACCCAAGGGCCATTGTATCAACTTACTTACTTAGAAACGTGGAGTTTGGTGCTCTTTTGGCGAGAGGAAAAATTTTGTATAATTTTTTTTGACCACTCTAATGTATATGGGTATATATGTATATATTTTAGTTTTCTATTTTTTAGAAACTTGTTATTTTTTTTCTTGTTTTAATTTTATTTTTAGACTATTGTTTTCAAATATTTTGTTTTTACTTCATTTAATTTTTAAACGCATTTTTTTTCTTTTTTTTATCTATTTGTTTTTGTTATTTTTTTCAAACTTAAGATTTTATTGTTTAAAAAATATATATTTTTCTATTTTCATTTGACTTTTAAAACATTTGATTTGTTTTTTTTTTTAATTTTTAGATTATGTATATATGTAATTTAAAAAAAATACTTACTTTTATTTAAATTAATTCTTAGGAGCTGTTTTTATTTATTATTTCTCTTATTAATTAATATTTTATAAATTTAGTTTTCTTTAAATTTTTTAGATTTTATTGCGTTAGATTTTTAGAGACGTAATTGACTGTTTCTTTTTTAAATTATTATTTTTTTTTAATTTTCCCTTGATTTTTAGTTATTTAACTTTAATAAGAACAACAATTTCTTTTTAATTTAATTTATATAAAACTTATTGCAGATAGATAAACGGAAAAACGTCAACAGATATTTCAATTAGTCTTGTGAAAGGTAACGAAGAGCATTCACGATGGTTGCCAGAAATGACAATTGTCTTTCGCAAGACTGTGGTGGTGGTTGAACGACAGTTGCCACAATTGGTCTGTTAGAAAATATCAATACATTTTCGCAATCGCGCCGGAAATATATCTAACTATAAGTTAACTTGTAGTTTATTAGGAAGGAACTAAAGGACACCATTATCTGTTATATTTTCTTTGAGGAAAGCTAACTGCGAAAGAGTCAAGGGTGGTTACCTCTGCATTAGATGTCAACTAACTTGTAACTCTAACTACTTTTGGGCATAAAGTTTTATTAAAAAAAAAAAATATTGTTTTCAATTCGAATTCCGTCAGAAATAACATCAAAATGATAGTATAAAATTTCGATCTTCATTTTTTTTTTTTTTGTCTAAATTCGAAAAAGTATTTTTGAAGTGCAGAAAAGAAGTGTATTCAAAAAAACTCCCGACTATGTCTGCATGACTCCCGCATTACTTTTCAACTAGTTTCAAGTAACCTTTTTCTAGTTAACTAAAAGTTATACGTTTTGTCGCACTCCTGGCATATGCTCGTAGGAAAATGCAGCAATGATGAAGGATGGGAGTTGACCAACATCTATAATTTACAAGCAGTAGTGTGAATGTATTTATTAGGGTGATTGACTCGGTTTTTCCTAACCGGTTAAAAGCAGTTTTTTATATTTAATGTAGTGTAACCGGCTTTCGAAAAAGGCGAATAATCGTACACCCTAGTCTGCGTGTGTATTTTTATGGGTAGTATTAATGAATCATTAGTATGCGCGGGATGGCATAGGGCTTACCAAATTACGCATTTCTTCACTTTTGAGTAATGATTGCATCAAGACCGAACATGTACTTATTCATAGGTATGTATGTATATTTTCATTTCATAAATCCAACAAATAATTTGGTAAGAAGTAATTTTTTTTTATTTATTTTTTATCAATATCCGATAAGATTACAATTGTTTAAACACTCTGTGTACCTTCGTACATGCATATCGAAATCTTCGCCTTTGTTGTGTCATTTTAAGTCCAATCGAAGCGCATTACGTAACCCACTTCATCAAAGCGTGCAAATGCGCTTCCGTTTATGTATGTATGTATATTCTCTGCAGTCGATTGAGCTAAATTTATTTCCAAATATCTGCAATGTAGCTGTTGTTGTCCTTATCATTGTTGTTATGTATTGTGCGCGTACTTTTGCACAAACCATACACATACATACATACATACATACATACATACATATGTATGTATGTACAAATAATTTACGAAATTCGCATTTCCTTTGTTTTTGTTGTTGCGCTGCATTGCATTGCATTGCGCTGATAAGTGATTGGACAATGAAGGTTCAGTGTGCCAATTTGGTTTTGTGTAATTTATTTTTCGTTTTCTGCGTTATTGTTGCTATTGTATGTGATTCGTCATAAATTGATAAACTTTTGTAATATATTTAAATTTGTTGTAATTTTTAAAAAAATATGAAAAGTAAATGCGGTTGTAGGCGTTTTGCTTAAACGCGGTACGAATTTCGAGCATTTCAGAAGTAGTTGAGAATTGCAGTTATGCCAGAGAGGTATACAGAATGATTCGGTGAACTTTACTTAAATATTTAAATTCATCTTCCCGTTAGCATTACGTTTCGACCTTTATCGAGGCAGAAAGAAAACGAAGTGAAATCTTATATTTACGATTTTTTTCATGGTAGTATTGCCGGATTTGCTAATTTTTATTATTTTTTTATCTCCTATTTCCAATGATGCTGCCTATCTAAATAATTCCCCTCTGCTTTCAGATCGAAAACACCACGGACCACGCCCACACTCTCTGCACGCCACCCCTACACCGATGACGCGCTAAGCAGCGCCGTTCAAGATCTACTCAGTGGTAAATACAGTGCAAGTATCCGCAAACCGGCGGGCCAATACAGCAGCAGCAGCACGTCGTCGAGCACCAGCCGCACAAGACCAACACGCCTTGCGATGGGTGGCAAACGCGCCAACGCCCACCTAACCAACGCTCTATTGCAAGGCCTGGAAATGGACAAGGATTTGTCAGGCGATGAATGTAGCGCTGCTGATGGCAGTTCGCTCATGGCCGGTGGACATGGAAGCAACGCCTCAACACCACAACCACCAGAACCCGCCACACATTCCGCTCTAGAAGAGCTCGCCAGCCGTTTAAGCGCGACGCAATCATTGCGCAAACTATGCATAAATACTGGCAATAGCGATGCGTCAGCGAGACGTGATGCGGACAGTGACGCGACAAACTGCGCTCCTTCATTGTCGCCCAAATCAAACGCCCTGTACGTTGATGCTGCCGCCAAGCGTGACTCTGGCACACCTTCGAGCAGCGCCACGCCGCAGCCGCAACAATCACCGCAGGCAGGTCTGGATACAACGTTTGCCATTTTGCAGGCGTTTTTATTCACGCTCACAAGCTTCGGCGCTTTACAGCAGCGCGCAGATCAACCTGTTACCCTGCGTGATCTTGTCGCCAATCTGAAGGATATGCTGGAAGCACACACAGCCGGTGATTTGAATGTGGAGGGACTCATTAATAACGGTAAACCCAACATAATGGATCTGCCACTGTCGACGCATAAGTTGCAGCAGCACTCCGCGGCATACGCTGCGCAACGCTTGCCCAAATCAGATACTCCAGAAACGACGGGTTCGATTGACACGCACGAACCAATTGGTGAGGACCTGGCTTCGTCGATTCTCAAGATTCCGTCCTATAAACCTGCGGCAAACACACCCACGCCGACATCAGGTGTCGCACGCTCCACCTGCTCGCCACCTTTGCTGTGCAACAACTCCAACGCCAACTCAATGCCAAATCCCAATGGCGACAGTCCGCACTCCGCGCCCTCACCGCGCATCGCCAGCTCAATGCTGGCGGCCGCGGTGGCAGCCGTAAGCAACAATGGCAGCTCGACCTCTGTCGGGCGCCAGGGTAATGATCTCTCAGTGATTTCACCCCCGCTGCTGCAACACCGCCAGTCACCTCCGTCGTTCAGCTTTCGAGATGTAATCGCGCGAGGCATTCACCGCACCATGAATGAACAGGCCAACCAGGAGGCGCATGCGGCAGCAGCTGCAGTCGCCGCCGCTTCAGCGCCGATGCTCGGCCTGTGCCTGGATATGGAACGCTCGAGCAACAACAATAGCGGCGGCAGTGGCGATTACAAGAAACCTACAATTTCGGTGGTGAAGAATATAGGCGGTACGGATACCACTCGCTTTGGCGCCGCGCCTAATTTGTTAGCGGCTGCTAGTGCAGGCGCGGCAGGCACCGTTCCCAGCGCACACAACTCGCACGCGTACCATCAAACGCACCTACATAATGCACATCACCATCATTCGCACCACCTTAGCCGTCAGGAAGCAGCAGCGCTTGCCGCCGGCAAAGGTACGCGACCCAAGCGCGGCAAGTACCGCAACTATGACCGCGATAGCTTAATCGAGGCAGTGCGCGCAGTGCAACGCGGGGAAATGTCGGTGCATCGTGCAGGTAGCTACTTCGGCGTGCCGCATTCGACGCTCGAGTACAAAGTGAAGGAGCGGCATCTGATGCGACCGCGCAAGCGGGAGCCCAAGCCCCAGCCCGGTCTGGATGGCAGCAGCAGCTCGACATCGGGCAAGTCCAACTCCAACATTCCTGGTCACCATAACAATCTCAGTAAAATCAAGCTGGGCGGCGCGAGCGGCTCGAATGTCAAGCTCAACGAAACACTTAAGGGTAACAGCAACTCGGCAGCGGCGGCCTTCCCCACCACTGCGCCAAATGGCATGAAACTTCCCATCTTCGATCCCATGCAATACCCGGGACATCTGTTTTGGAATCACACGCCAGCATTCAACCCAATGCACATGGAGTTCAACCGCAACACAGTGGCGGCGCAAAACGCAGCTCAGCGCTACACCGAAGAAGCGTTACGAGTTAGCGCATCAGCAGGGACGCCCTCGAATGCTAACAGCCCCAGTCCTATCGCCAGCCCGCTCTCTGCTGCGGCTGGTCATGCGCTGAATATGAAGAGCGCGCGCGAGATCGCTGAGAATTTGTATGAGGGTGGCGGCGCCAATGGTTCCTCAATACTCGATGGCATTATACGCAAGACGCTCGATCGCAAGAGCACCGACGTTGGACCGCCACCCAGTACCAGCGCTGGCGCCGGCGGCGCACTGCTAGACCAATTGCTCATTAAGAAAAGCGGCCTGCCTCCATACGTCAGCAGCAGCAACAATACCAGCGATCATCTCATGAGCATAGGTGCTAAACGCGGCGGCAGCCCGCTCGCCTACACCGAAATCAAACGCGAACGCTGTAGTCCACAACACAGCAGCGGCGGTGATGATGATGACGACGACGACGCCTCGCGCAGCGGCACCGACGATGTGAGCTACGAGCACAACAACAACAATAAAGGTAGTTTCAGCGCCACAAACGAGCTGCAGCTGCAGCATCAACACCTACACCACCAGCACCAGCAGCAGCAACAGCAACAGCATCGCAGTCGTAGCCGAAGCCGACTAACGTCACACGATTCCGCCGAAACCGACACCAGCAGCATACCAAGCGATCTCATGCCAAATCACAACAACAGCAGTAGCAGCAAGCTAGTGGCCGATCTGAATGGCAGTGGATGTAATGCGGGCGTAAGCGCGCTGATGCCGAACGTGGAGCCACTTATGAATTTAGGACGTGCGGGCGGACCGACGTTGGGTGGCACCTCAATACTGCAGGAGAAGTTAGCGCAAATCAAGGCAGAACAGGAAAACGAAGAGAACTTATAGAGGTGAGCAACTTGGCGACTTGGCGCTTTGATGAGGGAGTAACAAGCGCCAATGCGGAGAGATGTAGTGAAGGCGCCGCATGTAGGCTCACTATTTAGTTGGATACGCAAGCATGGCTGAACAGGCGCAGGTGGAGCGCCACACCAGCAAAAGCGAAGTACACTCATTAGCAGATGGGCAGCAATGAGAGCGCAACAGGACAAAGTGAACCTGCGGGCATGGAACGCTGTTAGAGCTGTTGGGCAAACACGAACACAAATACACACTTGTGGCACTATGTATGGTGATAAGAGTGATCTGCGATCAAAGATCGCCGATCGGTAAACGGTAATCCGTAAATAGTAAACGGTAAACGGTAAACGGTTCAAAACACATGTTTAGTCAAAATTTAAGTGAGGAATTTAAACTCTTAGTTTACTTCAAGCAACTTATGTACATTCACTTAGTATATACAATTACATATATATAACGGTAATATACATACATACATATAAAAGAAATTATGTATTCGAGAATACATACTTAGGCACATAAATACTTGTAAACACTTACACAACAGCAAAAACACACACACACACACAGATAAAGCAGAAAACTAGGAACGACAATGAAGACAGGCAGTCCGAGTCGAGGATTTGTGTATGAATAGAATATTTGTACTGTACAGTGTACAGTGTACAGTGTACAGTGTACAGTGTACAGACAAAAGTGAAGCGAGAAAACAAATTTTATTTAATAGATACATATATACATACAATAACTGTAATACGTATATGTATGTGTGCATTTAGCCAGAAGAGCATGTCTGTCTTTATTATTAGTAAGAAAAGTGGAAAAACTACAACAACAAGAAAAAAAATCAAAGCCAAGTTTCGACTTGTAGAATAGTGAAGGAGAAAAACCAAAAACAAAAACGTATAAGGGCTAATGCAGCGTAAAAGGGATATAAAAATTATATATGTATATGTGAACAAGCTGTTATACATACACACATACATAAATACATGCATAAAATAAAAGCGAAAACTACAAAAAAAAAATCACACCCAAAATATAATAGGTAACTAAATAAATATACAACATAACAATAAATAAATAAAAACAAAAAACAAAACACTAAGCGTATAAAGAAAAAACCTGGATAATTTATCATTGATATGTGCAACAAGGCGGGTGGGTATCCATGGTAAAAAGGAGGTACAACAAAAAACATTAAAACAAATAAACACTTTCTGTTTCGTTTTCTGACAATCGACAAATAGGCTCTTCTTGTACAAACCAACAAATGAATCTAACTACATACAAGCAAACAAACATAAAGTATAATAACAAGTGGCAAACCGAAAATTTTAATACAAAATAAATTCACAAAAATCTAACAATAAACAAGCGAACAAAATAAAAAAAAAAAACAACGCAAAATGACTCTACTCTAATAAGCTATTAGTTATAAAGCAACCAATCATTAGAAAGAGTAATAGATGAGAAATCAATTCAGAAACTTTACAGAAAACTTGCAAATTTTTGGATCTTTCGTTTTTTTTGGATTTTTTTTTTTTCTTTTTGATTTTCGAAAAAGTCCATTTTTTGTATTAACCAAAATGAATTTCGAAAAGCATACAAATAATAGACCAAATGAGCATACAACAAACCAAACCACATATAAAACAAAATGCAAAAACAATAATACCAACAACAGCAAAGCAAGCAACCAAAACAAAATACAATAAACGATCAGTCGACAGCTACAAAACCTACCAGCCAATAAAGCAATAACAAAAATCAGCAGCAACAAAAACAATATCAACAACAACAATAACAGCCAATAACACGCAGCAATAACCAAACGGAGCAACAATACTATCAGCAGCAGCAGCAGCAGCAGTAGCAGAGAAAACAGACAGAAGAAATAATAATAGATGGAACAACAACAGCAACAACAACTACTACATACAGCCAATTCAACAAAAAATGCAATAAACAAAATCGTAATGATATTCCAACTTGCTTTGTGTAAGAAAAGAAGACTCATTAAGTTTGAACGGAGCCTCCTACAGAGCTTTAAGACATCTTCAGTGCCTTTCATTTAAATAAACTTCGTGTCCAGCAGGTTAGCTAGTTAACAAGTTTATTCGGCGACCTCGCAGCTCCATTTTTCCCTATACCTGTCCCCACGTAACCCTCGATAGATAGACATGTAGATGAAGGCAAGGATATATATGAACCTGAAAGGTATTTGGTATCTATAAAGAGAGCCTCTAACCCAGTTTGTCCAAGACACCCTCGGTCTCTTTAATGAATCCCAAAGGTTTGACCATTGGAGCTTTGCAAATAAGTTAGTCATTGTCTATCAAAGGCCGGACAGTCACAAAGAATGGCATGGGCTTAAACCATACTAATTGGCCAGCTGAGCTATCACATCTCTCAAAGGAGTGGCCCCCGAAATTTTATGCGCTTGCTTTAGAGTGGCAATGGGTCACTGTTCCTTTAGTATTTTGGTGAGAAGTCGAATATTAGATTATAGATCTGATATTTTTCTCGAGCATTCTCCATTCTCGCCCAGTTCCAGGGACCCAGTATACTACCAGGATGTAATATGATCTCGAAGTGGCGGACAAAGTGAATTTCCGTGGCCTGATAATCTCAACTTCAGTACTTCCGGTTCTTTGCAGCCTGTAGGATGGCCTAATTTTCAAAGCCCTCTTAGATGTGGTGCCATCCACGTTATTGTCTATAGGTGGAATGTCTATAAGTTCCTTCCATGCCGCTTGGGGCAGGGAGCGAACTGCTCCCGCTGTATGTAGGCATAGGATTCATTGCACCCTTTGCACTTGTATACATGAGGTTGCCAGCCTTCTCTATTTTCCACATCCAAGATGTGAGATCAATGATATGTTCTAGTGTCTCAAGACTGTTTTAAATGTGACTCAGGGCAATCGCGAGTTGCTGGACTATTCCTGTAGAAAGACATTTTCTCTATCGCATGTCTTCTGAGTTTGATTCGAGGCATTTTTAAAATTCAGATTATGATACCTTATTATCTACTATTTAGCCTTCCTTCTAGAACGCATTGAAACTGTGACCGCCCAAATCATTAATTAACAAAAATTATTTGTAGAGCCCATCTACTTTTTACTGAAATTCAATCAGACATACAAATTTGCTAAATCTAAGCGTTTTAGCAGACGCGTCTATGTACTCGTAGGACACAATGGAGTCTTCGAAATACTTTTCAAATTACAAACCATTTGGAATTTTCATTACGTGCAATAGCTACATAAATACAACTGAAAAGAGCAAACGATCACAATAGACAAGATAATTCAGTGCAGATTAACAACGCAGATACAACAACAACAACAACAACAACAACAACAACAATAGACTATACCATACGCCAACTCAACCAAAAATAAAATTAAAAAAAAAAACAAAAAACGCAAATTACCACTTAAAAAAGTTTTTTTTTTTCAAAAGTCGAACTTTTGTTTCTTTTACATGTACATATATCTCATAGATATGTGTTTTAACAATTTTCTTTATCAAAAATTATACAATAAAAGTATCAAAAGTAAAATATCATAAAATTATAATAATTAGAACACTTCAGAAATCCTCAAAACGGAAATCAATAAACAAAGCTGCCTTCACATTTACAAAAAAAAAAAACAACAAAAACTAAAAGATAAACAAAATTAATCAAAGGGAATATTAAAATTGTAAAATGCTAAAATGCTAAAAAATTTTAAACCGAAAAAAATTTAAAGCCGATAATTTTGATTTACATTATGCTGAAACGTACTTGGATTTTTTTTGTCTAAAATTGTATAAAGAAAACATTAAAGGCGTTGTTTCTAAAAAATAAAACAGATTCAAAAAGCTTAAAAAAATTGTTTTCGATTTAAATATAATTTTTAAACTGTTTTATCTTTTATAAACTTGGCTGTAAGCATCTCCTAGCCCAAACACACACACACACACACACAACGCACCTTCCTTTATTGTTTTTTAATTATGCTGCAAAAAAATATATCTCGGTGTTTAAATAAATAAGTTGTATGTAAGCATTTCGGCCCAGATTTGTATACCAATGCACATACATACATACATATATACTTACTTACTTACAAACATATATACATTTGCATGCATGCATAACGGGAATTTATGTATGTGTTGTATATTCACTTAAAACGTATTTAACATACGAAAAAGGAAAATATTGAAAAATTTAATGTTTGGTGTTTATGAAGCAAAAAAATAAATCAAATAATATATACCATATTAATTAAAAAAATATTCATGGCTAAAAAACTTAATATATTTAGTTTGTAAAAATTAAACCCTTCGGATAGATTTCAAAACCCAAGTAAATATCTATACTTCAAACCTTATAGTTATGTATGCTATGTATGTGTCTTCGTGTCGAGTATACCTCAAAAATAAACTGAACATCATCATTTTGCGTAAAACAAAAAAAAAATCTCAAGTACTCTAACAAAAAAAAAGAAAAAATCAAAAAAAAAAAGTGGCATAATGTAAATTTTTTTCTATATTAATTGTGTGTTAAATCAACTCAAATTTTGAGTTTGGGAAATGCTAAAGGAGAATGTTGTTCTTCTCAAATAGGCTTTAAAATTTATCTGCCCTTCGAACACAATTTTTCAGACCAAAATTTATTTTTATAGAGGAGATGAATTTTAAAACCTACATACATACATACTAAGTGTTTTACTTTTACTTAAACTTGTAAGAAATTTCGAAAAAAATGCTATCGATTTTTTTTTTTTTTTCAACTATAAATTGAGTGGTTATAAATTATAACAAAAGAAATTTACCCAATTACATACTTTGAATTAAAAAACCGCAAATAAAAATTGTTTGCTTACTTTTTGAAACTTTGGCAATATTTTCGAAAATATAACCAATTTATCCCGAGTTATGTGTATACATATTTTAAAATTATGAAAGTAGATGGTAATAATATTGAAGAAAAAAAAAACAAAAAAAAACTTAAATGTACCTTAAAAAAAAATTGTGTGCTACGTAAAATTGCAAGTGTATTTTGGAATAGTGAGGACACAGACAATTTTTACAAACATACATACATACATACAATACGTGCGAGCTACAACATACATACATATGTACACACATATATTTGAGCAAAACAAAAAAGTAGGTGTGAAAAAATTGTGTGTCGAAATTATGCATAAAAATAAATACATATGTACGCGTACAATACATACAAACATTAAGACATATTTATACAAGCGTACGTATACGAATATAATAAATATATATGTATATAAACAAAAATTAAGAGAAATTAAACCCTTTTGAATGTGCGTATATTTAGATAATTATATGAATAATAAAAATTATGACAAAAAATATTTAAGAAAGTCAAAAAGCGTTTGGCATTTTTTTAAAAGTCTATACATATATGTATGTATATGCATACAACCAGAACACACGTAGCATTTTGTACAAGCATCTTAAATACACATACATACATATTTTGGCATATTTGTGCGTGCGGGCATACATACATACATACGTACGTACGTACTACAATCAACATTTATACATACATATGGCATATGTATGTATGAACTTGTATACTTTTAATCAAAATTTTAATTAACTTGATCCGACAGCATTGCTATAGAATTATTTGTAAATTAGACAAATTGTAAAATGCGTTCATATGTACATACACATACACACACACACACACACACACACTTACTTATATATACGGACGGACAGAATAAATTAGCTTGAAAAAGGCCACGACCACGACCACGACCACGACCTCGACACCGTAACACCCGTAACTATGGACTGACATACGACGAACGACGATGGCGAACCACGCGAGGCCAACAGTAACAGTAGTCTTTGACCTGCGCGTCGTGCTGCCACAATCGGCTGCACGTTGATCGAGATCTACCAGAAATATTTATGTAATTATTGAGTATGTAATTCTATTATTATTATTATTATTATATTTCAA